ACAAGATTGCAATTATTTGGCTTAAAAAATGGTCACACTTTACTGTCCTGATCTGGACACATTCCAGGGCCAGGACAGAGTTTGGATAGGAGACTTAAGTAGAAAGAGAAAATGTGATATGGTCATAATAATGGCTGGGTGTTTCACAGGCACCAGGTAAGTGATCTAAATTCCAACATAGTGGAAATTGCAGATGGTCTAAATAATTTTTTGGTTGTGACAGTGATGACTACCTTGTGGCTCTAGGTCCCCATAGTTTTTTTTTTTTTCCTGCATCCTAGCAGTTACAGGTTTGGAAGAGAAAGAGCTTAAACTAGGGTTATCAGATTTACTTAATGCCCAGTTAAAATTGAATCTCATATGAGCAATGATTTTTTTTTTAGTATAAGTATGTCCCAATATTTCACGGGACATACTTATAATAATTTTTTGTTTGTTTATCTGAAAGTCATTTATCTAGGTGTATAGTATTTTATCTGGTAACCATATTTAAGTACTTACATTAATGTGTTTGTTAATAAGAAATGACTATAGTGGCTATCTGGCTCTACCTATCATTTTCTCTAGAGTATCTCAGAAGAGGTATACTCATTCCCAATAAAAGCAGATATGGGAGCTATTTTCTGTCAGTAGATAGTCTATGAGAAACACATACTATTAAATATTAAAAACCTCTTTTATGAGATTTTTATAACGTTGAAAGTGTCTAACACAGAAATGAAGATTTAGAACTTCCCTCTCTGCCTATAATTGGATATCAAAACTACCAAAGTATAGCAATAGAAGTAATAGGATTGGCTATTGTCACACATTTAATGACACGTGAGGAGAGAGAAGATAAGTTTGAAATGACTTACAGGTTTCTGGTTCAGTTAGACAGTTGGCATCATGAACCAAGAAGAGAAAGGGGAATATGGAATCCTTGAGGAAATATCGAATCCGGTTTTGATAAGCTGATTGTGAGATGCCCTTTGGTGGGCATGTCTACCATGCCATTGAATATATGCATTTGGAACCCAAAAGAGAATCTGTGTTAGGGATAGGATTGATAGTTGAAACCATAGAAATGAAAATAATCATGGACATATAGTATATAGAAAATGAATAGCAAAGGGCCAATGAGAGAAACTTGGAGGAACACATACATTTACGGAAGAGATAAAGGAAAAAAAAAACCCACAGAATAAACTCTAGGGAGAAAATTTAGAAAGAACACTGGGAGAAATGGTGTCACAGAGAGAAAGAGATGAGTGCTTCACAAAGGAAGTATGCAGGGGTGCCAAATGCTGATGAGGTCAAGTAAGATGTAATATAAAAAAAGGCCACTGAATTTGACAACTGGAATGCCACTGGGGATATGTGCCAAATCGTATTTATATAGAAGCAGTGGGAGCCAAAGCCAGATTGCTGTGAATTGGCAAGTCACAGAGGTAAGGATGTGGAAATAACAAATGCAGTCAGTCAAGGAGCCTGACTGTGGATTAGGGGAGGCTGGCAGTATATAAAGGATACTTAGGATTGAAGGAGAGCTTCCTGCTCTGTTTGAAAGGGAACATGGGATTGAGTCTTTTTTTTTTAAGTGACAGAAACTTGGTCACGTTTATGAGTGAGTGAACTTAAGGGTGAAACTGCAGAGCAAAGGACGACAGAAAATGGTCAGCATCCTGAAAGTAAAATAAAAAGGGGTGGGAACAAAGGGACAATGGAGGTTTTAGTCTCTAAAGTAGAGATGGCATGTTTCATATACCATTTCTGGTACTGTGACTAAAAAGAAGCAGATGAAAGTCAGTGAATAGGTAAAGAAGTAGGAAGAGAAAAATAACTTGGAAAAACAAATCATAGGGTGGTACATATCCAGAGCTTCCTATTGTCACACATGCCATCCCGTGTAAAAGAGAATGGCTTATGGGGCTGCCTCTTTGGAAATGAATTTTAGCAAGGATCCAGCATGTAGGAACATTTAAATCACCAGCACAATGGTGAACCATTAGGATAACAACAGTAACAAGAAAAAAGGCCCTTTATATTGAAAATGCCCAAGGGTATACATCTGTCATAGCCACATCCATTTGTTATGAATTCCTAAAGTCCTTTATCTCAGAGGTTAATGCCAATGAGGGGTGCCTGGGTGGCTCCGTGTTTGAGCATCTGACTCTTTATTTCAGCTCAGGTTATGATCTCAAGGTTCGTGGGGTCAAGCTCTGTGTCAGGCTCTGCGCTGAAAACTGAAACTGGAGAGCCTGCTTGGGACTCTCTCAGCCCCCCCCCCCCCATGCTCTAAATAAATGTGTAAACAAACAAACAAATAAAAATCAGTCAAAGCTGATGCTTATCCCAAATTTTCCAAAAGGAATAATGAAGCAGTGGGGATGGGGGGGCAACCAAGGTGATGGTTGGCTAACATGGTTTCAGTGACTGCGTTAGGAAACTTCTTTTCTTCGAACCAAAAAGCAGTTCTTCTCTTAAGTTGCTTGTTTGGTTTGTATTGGTAGAAGAGAGCGTACTACTGCACGCAGTCTGACTTCTGAAATTGCAGTCCCCTAACAGAGTAAGCATCAATGAGCACTCTAGTAGGCTCATTGTCAGGCTGTCAAAAACACTCATAAAGCAAGAATGCCCAGAGAGGCATTAGTCATCATAGTTCAAATGGCAAATAACCACAATGCCCATCAATGACAAAAAGGATAAATACATTGCAGATTATTTGTAAAACACGTACTATACAGCAATGGAAATAAATTATAGCTACATACAAAAACATGGATGAATCTTATAAAGACAATGTTGAAGCAGAGAAGGTGGACATAAAGAAACGCTTGCTATTGTGATTCCATGTACATGACATCCAGAAAGGATGTTACAAGTTATAGTGGTGGAGACTTTGAAGATGTTGGAAATTTTTGTTTTGGGCTTGTTTTTTCTATTATCTTAACTGGATGCTGATTATATGGGTGTTTCTACTTTGAAAATTCATACAGTTGTGCATGTGATTTGTATGCTGTTTTGTACATATGCTATATTTCAATATTCTTTAATAAAGCTGATCATATATGGCATGAAGAATGAAGGTGGTGGTGATTATTGTATAGGAGACGGGGAATTTTGGTCAGGATGGGGCACAAGAGGCCTTTTGGGGCAGCTGATGATAATTTACTTTTCAACTTGGGATGTGGTTAAGGTAGTGTGTTTACTTTGTGAATACTTGGCATACATTCATGATTGACACACTTATCTATATGTAAATTACACCAAAACTAAAAAACTAAAGAAACAAAACACTCAAACTGCTAGCCATTGCATTGTTACAATGTTGCATTGCACTGTGTGGGAAAATGTCTTCTTACAATGAGATATATGAATCCAGGCTTAGAATTTGGCACTGCAGTGATAGTGGGGAGAAGCTATCGTCCTTCCTGTTGTCCCTTCCTTGAAATCAAAGGGACATCCTTCTCCAGTCAGTCTTGCCATGGACTCAGTATTCTGGCCGTAGATCATGTCATAGCTTACTTGGTTAGACTGTTGTGCATAGAATGCCTTTATTTCCTTAATGTTTTGTCGTAATTTATCAAGTTAGTTTATAATATACCTTTGATTTAGAAGTGAGAAACACTGAATTTTAGCAGAAAGTCTCATAGATATTTTTGGAATAAGAGTCCCATATTTCTTTGGATATTCTGTCTTCTACTTAGGAAAACTTGGCAAAATATCCAGTCATTGAATCTAGTTTATTTTTTGTTTTTCATTTGTCAGAAATATTAAGGTGTTTAACATTTTTAAAAGCCTATTTTGCCCTGGGGCGCCTGGGTGGCTTAGTCGGTTAAGCGTCCGACTTTCGCTTAGGTCATGATCTCGCGGTTGGTGGGTTCGAGCCCCGCGTCGGGCTCTGTGCTGACTGCCAGCTCAGAGCCTGGAGCCTGTTTCAGTCTGTGACTCCCTCTCTCTCTGACCCTCCCCCTGCTCACGCTGTCTTTCTCTCTCTCTCCTAGAAATAAATAAAAATCTTTAAAAAAAATAAAAAATAAAAAATAAAAGCCTATTTTGATGTTTTACTACCCTCTGCTAATTCTCAGTGATATGGATAGTCAAATTTTATAGCACTTGTAAAGTTTCACAGAGGGCATGTCTACTCCTATCATTTGGACAAGGATATTTCAAATTTGGGAAAGAACTTTAAAATCTTCATTAATAGTGGCTTACTATATCAGCATTGTAGGCTTCTATCCATGAGGAAAATAAACAGACAAATAAATATATTGTTTTCATCTGAATAAACCCACGCTAAAGACAATAGTCACTATTTGAAGAAAATAAAAATTCTAATTCTTTGAGTATCATAAATTCTTTGATTCATATCTTCCACAGACTTGCCTTGCTTTAAGTGACTATAATATTATTCTTTTTCTGGTATCCAATTATCACAACTTGGCAAGTAGGAATTCATTTAAGTTAATTCTGTTATCTAATAGAGTCTCTCAGAAATTTAGACAACATCTTTGTTTTCTTGGCAACCAGATATTCCAGACCATCTTCAATTTTTTATGTCCCAAAATAGTGTATTACCTACTTTCTATAGAATCCTACTTATTTTAACTGGAAAGTAATATTAGGGACCAAAGTCTGATTATCAGGGATGCAAAGCAGACTAATGTATACTTATTTTAGTAAAATAGTTTTTAGGACATGTTAATAAAAAGCTAGAAAAATTGTATTTCAAAATCATGTATTTAAGGCACTCTCATGTATTGCCAATTAGATTGCCCATGGAGGAGAACTGAGACCTCAGAATAACAAATACAGTAATTTATAGTTTGGGGCCAGCAATACTACTTTGGGAAATTATCATGTAGATAGATTTGCAGCAGTATAAAAAGACATATTGTTTGTAATTTAAAAAATTGAAAACAATTAAGATTCTTAACAAAAGGGGTCAGTATATACATAGAATAGACTACTAAAAAAATGAAATAAAATAAAGAGGTTCTGTCACTGTATGGCTGCAGGAGAGGTTACTGCAGGGAAAATGGTGGATGGAAAGCCAGGAGAGAAGTCTGGAGCCACCATAGTAATGGAGGAGAAAGTTCCAGTTGCTCTGCCAAGAAGCTGTGAGCTCCCAAAGAAGCTGCAGACCTCCAGCCAAAGCTTATGAAGATCTGCAAGTCTGGGTTTACCATAATCAGACACCAAAGATTTCATCAAACCTGGGTCAGGTAAGCCTAAGGAAATTATTCCAACTCTTGCTCCAAAAGTCCTTTCAGTGGCAGCAGCTTTTAATGGAGATAAAGATAGTAAGCTACGGGAAATACTTCCAGAAACAAAGATGAGCATAAAGAATGTTGAACAGGTACACCAACATCAGCAGGCCAGACTTCTTCAATAAAGAAACACATAGGTTTTCAGATAACTGGAAACTATGAGGGAAAAAACCCACAGAATTTCATTTCGAAAATGTCCATGACCAGTACAATTAAATGATGAGTTTTGAAATTGGGTACGAGATGGGTATAAAGTTAAAAGAAATAGTTTTCCTTTTTTAAAGACCAATAGAAAAATATCTTTGGAAACAGAGCCAGGTGTGGGTTTTTTTTTTTAATTTTTAACATTTATTTAAAATGACGCAGGGCTCAAACTCACTAACTGTGACATGATGGCCTGAGCCAAAGTCAGCTGCTTAACCAACTGTGCCACCCAGGCACCCCTGTTTTTGTTTTTTAAGATTGAGTTGTATACTAATAAATGAGAGGTTCAAATGAGAGGTGACTTGTTTTATGGGCAGATTTCAAGACATTTGATAATTTTGTAGTTTTATGGTATTCATTTCCAAAAGTTAAAGGTAATAAATTGGAAATGGTATCTTTTTAAGAATTGCTATTTTTTAGACACAACTACTAGCATCATAAGAGAGAAGCAAAAGTTATTATATGTTTAAACTGCGGCAGTTTCTCTCTAACTTACACCATCGTTACCTAAACAGTCTGACTCCCGGTAGCCATATAGACAGGGAATATTGTATTAGGAGGAAAATATTACTGGACTGTTGATGGAGTCAACTTAGACAAAATTAAAATATAGTTTTTCTCTTATAAGCATTTGCTTTAAGTCATCATAAAGTAGACATTGCATTGCTATCAGTGGATATAGACAGTTAGCTCTTCAAAAATACCATTTTTTGAAATTTTGTGAGAACTGTTGAGTATTTTAAATAGCCTTTTGCCTTAATGGGTTTTGTCTACTTCCATTGGTCTTTAAAAAACAACCATTTGTCATCAAAATAAACCTCTACTCTGAATGTGCTTCTCCTGGTTGTTAACTAGTTCCTGTAAGCACTTTTTAAAGAAAAGAATAAGGAAGCTCTCTTTGCATTGATATAGAAAATTCTCCTAGACATATTGTTCAGTGAAAACAAACATACTATTGTTTCTTTTTGGATCAAATTAATCTTTCACCTTTTATTAAAAAACATGCAGAAAAGAATTTTTTTATTTAAAAAAAATCACTGTATTTGCTTCTATTTGCAAAGGGAATCTCTGAAAAGACTGATAAGAAACTTAAAAAAAGTGTTTATGTGTTAGGGTTAGGGTTTGGAACAGGGTGATTAGCAGACATGATATTATCAGGACTTTTTACTGTATGCCATTTACTTTTAATTTTTTAAAACGTGTTTTGAAATGTGTGTATTAAATATTAAAAAATTTTTAAAAATTGCAAATAGAATGTAAGACACTAAAAAATAACTAAATAAAATGTAAAAAATGAAAAGATAGGCGTCTGTATTGATCTTGTTAACATTTCTCTGCAATATAACCACGTAATTTTTTTAACCACTCAAGTGAAGTATAATTGTACTCTCTGTTCTTTTATAATTTAATAGGCTATATAGTTTTCCATCTAAGTGAAAAGCTGATAGAAACTAATGTAATTACTTATTTATTTTATATACTAACATAAAAAGCAAATCCAGTATAACAATACTTAAAATAAACTATGGAATGAATGATATTAATAATACAGTTTCTTTTGGCAACCATGCCTTTGAATATATCCACAAACACTGCACAGTCAAATTACTTTGCTCTTGAGTCAACATTATTAATTCCTCATTCTGTTGTGATTATGTCAAATTCCCCATTAGATACTATGTTCCAATATTTTAGGTTCATTTTAAATTAAAAACTGCTGTTGTTCCTATAACTGAAAGTGTTTATTTGACAGCAGCTTTCAACTACTAGGCCTGCCATATAGAGCTGTGGAAACTGGTTCTACCTTCCCAAATATTTATATTAAAGTATCTTTTAGCCACTGTGGCAAACAATATCACTGATCACCAATGTTTCTTTTTTTTCTTCTTCCAAACAACCTTTTTCTTTTCAATTTTTCTTATTATTAAATCGTATGATCGTTTGATTGGATTTTGGCCAACACAACAAGAGATCAATGATGTTGTTACTTCTAGGCTTGGTTCATAAAAATCCCCCACCTACAATTTTCATTGTTTTTTCTACCCATAGAGCAAGTAAAGAGGATTTTTCTGGATCGAACAAGATGATGAACCAAATGGAAAAAGACTGGATCTCTGAATGATCGCATGGGGCCAAACCTGCCCACATCCCCTTCGACAACATTCATTAGGCTCAGTAAGTATTCACTATTTATGTCCTGAAGCCTCTGAAAACTTGTAACTGTTAAAGCAATTAGTTTACCAGACTAATAGAGACAACCATCTGGTACATCTGAAATTATTTAAAATATATAAGGTTTGTGTTCACAAATTACTGCAATTTGTGAACTGCCAGCTGCCTTCAGTTGGACACAAGAATAGAAATTAAGAGCATATGATTGTAATTATATTTTAAATAAGTATTTAAGGCAATTTTAAATTTTGAAATATGATTACAGTTAGCAAAATGTTAGAGGCCAAAGAGGTATATTCATATACCTGATTAAAGCACTCAGGTCATGTCTAATTCAAATTTAACTGCCTTAAAAATCTTGTCCAGTGGACATAGGTTTTAATTTACCTTTTCTGAGTTATTAGCATTTTCTCTATATCATATTTATTTTCTAACTAACTTTACAATATGGTATATTGACATAACGAAGTGTTTAATATCACAGTTTTCCAAATCTTAGTCTTAAAATGATTTATTCTTACTCTATTACTTAGTTAAGTTTTGCTTTAGGATCAGTATGTAGATAAGGTTACAAAATGGAGCTCATCTAGAGATTATATAGTGAGTTCTGCTCTTTTCCTTTTATTTATTAAAAAAATTTTATAGTTTATTATCAAGTTGGTTTCCATATAACACCCGGTGCTAATCCCAACAAGTGTCCTCCTCCATTCCCATCTCCCCCCTTCCCCTCTCCCCCACCCTCATTAGCCCTCAGTTTGTTCTCAGTATTCAAGAGTCTCTCATGGTTTTTCTCCCTCCCTCTCCCCAACTATCTTCTCCCCTTCTCCTCTCCCATGGTCCTCTGTTAAGTTTCTCCTGTTCCACTTATAAGTGAAAACATATGGTATCTGTCCTTCTCTGCCTGATATAATTCACTCAGCATAACACCCTCAAGTTCCATCCATGTTGCTACACATGGCCAGATTTCATTCTTTCTCATTGCCGTGTAGTATTCCATTGTGTAGATGAACCACATCTTCTTGATCCATTTGTCAGTTAATGGACATTTAGGGTCTTTCCATGGTTTGGCTATTGTTGAGAGTGCTGCTAGGAACATTGGGGTACATGTGCCCCTATGCATCAGCACTCCTGTATCCCTTGGGCAAATTCCTAGCAGTGCTATTGCTGGGTCAAAGGGGAGTTCTATTGTTAATTTTTTGAAGAACCTCCACACTGTTTTCCAGAGGGGGTGCACCAGTTTACATTCCCACCAGCAGTGTAGGAGGGTGCCTGATTCTCCACATCCTCACCAGCATCTAGAGTCTCCTGATTTGTTCATTTTAGCCACTCAGACCAGCGTGAGGTGGTATCTCAGTGTGGTTTTGATTTGTATTTCCCTGATGATGAGGGATGCTGAGCATCGTTTCATGTGTCTGTTGGACATCTGGATGTCCTCTTTGAAGAAGTGTCTGTTCATGTCTTCTCCCCATTTCTTCACTGGATTGTTTGTTTTACGGGTGTGGAGTTTGGTGAGTTCCTTCTAGATTTTCAATACCAGCCCTTTATATATGTCATTTGCAACTATCTTTTCCCATTTTGTCAGTTTCCTATTAGTTTTATGGATTGTTTCCTTTCCCGTGCAGAAGCTTTTTATCTTGATGAGGTCCCAATAGTTCATTTTTGCTCTGGATTGCCTTGTCTTTGGGGATGTGTCAAGTAAGAAACTGCTGCGGTGGAGGTCAAGGAGGTTGTTTCCTGCTATCTTCTCTAAGGTTTTGATGGATTCCTGTCTCAAATTCAGGTCCTTCATCCATTTTGAGTTTATTTTTGTGTATGGTGTGAGAAAATTATCTAGTTTCATTCTTCTGCATGTTGCTGTCCAGTTCTCCCAGCACCATCTGTTAAAGAGGCTGTCTTTTTTCCATTGGATACTCTTTCCTGCTTTGTCAAAGATTAATTGTGCATACATTTGTGGGTCCAATTCTGAGTCCTCAATTCTATTCCATTGGTTTATGTGTCTGTTTTTGTGCCAATACCATACTGTCTTGATGATGACAGTTTTGTAGTAGAGGCTAAAGTCTGGGATGGTGATGCCTCCTGTTTCGGTTTTCTTCTTCAATATTACTTTGGCTATTCAGGGTCTTTTGTGGTTCTATACAAATTTTAGGATAGTTTGTTCTAGTTTTGAGAAGAATGCTGGTGCAATTTTGATTGGGATTGCATTGAATGTGTAGATTGCTTTGGGTAGTAGTGACATTTTAACAATATTTATTCTTCCAATCCATGAGCATGGAATATTTTTCCATTTCTTTGTGCCTTCTTCAGTTTCCTTCATAAGTTTTCTATAGTTTTCATCATACAGACCTTTCAATCTTTGGTTAGGTTTATTCCTAGGTTTATGGTTTTTTCTGCAATTGTGAATGGGATCAGTTTCTTGATTTCTCTTTCTGTTGCTTCAATGTTGGTATATAAAATGCAACCAATTTCTGTACATTGATTTTGTACTCTGCGACTTTGCTGAATTCATGGATCAGTTCTAGTAGGCTCCTGGTGGAGTCTGTCAGGTTTTCCATGTAGAGTATCATGGTGTCTGCGAAAAGTGAAAGTTTAATTTCTTCTTTGCTAATTCTGATGCCTTTGATTTCCTTTTGTTGTCTGATGGCTGATGCTAGGACTTCTAGCACTATGTTGAACAACAGTGGTGAGAGTGGACATCCCTGTCGTGTTCCTGATCTCAGGGGGAAAGCTCTCAATTTTTGCCCATTGAGGATGATATTAGCTGTGGGCTTCTCATAAATGGCTTTTATGATGTTTAAGTAGGTTCCTTCTACACCGACTTCCTTGAGGGTCTTTATTTAAAAAGGTGCTGTATTTTGTCAAATGCTTTTTCTGCATCTATCTACAGGATCATATGATTTTTATCTTTTCTTTTCTTTTGTTAATGTGATGTATTACACTGATTGATTTGTGAATATTGAACCAGCCCTGTAACCCAGGGATGAATCCCACTTGATCATAGTGGATAATTCCTTTAATATGCTGGTGAATTCGATTTGCAAATATCTTGTTGAGGATTTTTACATCTGTATTCACACAGATATTGGCCTGTAGTTCTCTTTTTTTGCTGGGTCTCTGTTTGGTTTGGGAATCAAAGTGATGCTGGCTTTGTAGAATGAGTCCAGAAGTTTTCCTTTGATTTCTATTTTTTGGAACAGCTTGAGAAGCATGGGTATTAACTCTGATTTAAATGTCTGGTATAATTCCCCAAAGAAGCCATCTGGCCCAGGGCTCTTATTTGTTGGGAGATTTTTGATAACTGATTCAGTGTCTCACTAATTATGGGTCTGTTCAGATTTTCTGCCTCTTCCCATTTGAATTTTGGTAGTGTCTGTGTGTTTAGGGATTTTCCATTTCTTCTAGGTTGTCCAGTTTCCTGGCATATAATTTTTCATAGTTTTCCCTGATAATTGTTTGTATTTCTGACGGATTGGTTGTAATAAATCCATTTTCGTTCATGATTTTGTTTATTTGGGTGTTCTCTCTTTTCTTTTTGGAAGCCTGGCTAGAGGTTTATCAATTTTGCTTATTTTTTCAAAAAACCGTCTCTTGATTTCATTAATCTGTTCAACTGTTATTTTGGATTCTGTATTGTTTATTTCTGCCCTGATCTTTATTATTTCTCTTCTTCTGCTGGGTTTGGGGTGTTCTTACTTCTTTGCTTCTAGTTCCTTTAGGTGCGCTGTTAGATTTTGCTTTTGTACTTTTTCTAGTATCTTGAAATAGGCTTGGAGAACAATGTACTTTCCTCTTAGGACTGCCTTTGCTGCATCCTAAAGAGTTTGGATTGTTGTGTTTTCATTTCCATTTGTTTCCATATATTTTTAAATTTCTTCTCTAATTGCCTGAGTAGCCCATTCATTCTTTAGTAGGGTGTTCTTTAACCTCCATGTTTTTGGAGGTTTTTGAGACTTTTTCCTGTGATTGATTTCAAGTTTCATAGCATTGTGATCTGAAAGTGTGCATGGTATGACCTCAATTTTTTTTAATATTTATTGAGGGCTGCTTTATGACCCAGTATGTGATCTATCTTGGAGAATGTGCCATGCACACTTGAGAAGAAAATGGATTCCATAGCCTCAGGATGTAGGGTTCTAAATATATCTGTCAGGTCCATCTGATTCAATGTGTCTTTCAGGTCCATTGTTTCTTTAGTGATTTTCTGTCTAGTTGATCTATCCACTGCTCTAAGTGGAGTATTAAAGTCCCCTGCTATTAGCACATTCTTATCCATAAGATTGTTTCTGTTTGTGATTAATTGTTTTATGTATTTGGGTGCTCCTGAATTCAGCGCATAGACATTTATAATTGTTAGCTCTTCCTGATGGATATACCCTGTAATTATTATATAATGCCCTTCTTCATCCCTTGTTACTGCCTTTACTGTAAAGTCCAGTTTGTCTGATATAAGTATGGCTACTCCGGCTTTCTTTTGACTTCCAATAGCATGATATATATTTTTATATCCCCTTACTTTCAATCTGAAGGTGTCCTCAGGTCTAAAATGAGTCTCTTATAGACAGAAAATAGATGGATTTTGTTTTTTTATCCATTCAGATATTATATGTCTTTTGATTGGGGCATTTAGTCCATTTATATTCAGTGTTATTATTGAAAAATATGGGTTTAGAGTCATCATGTCCTTTGTGGGATTCATGCTTGTGGTGGTGTCTCTGGTATCTTCCATTCCTTGCAACATTTCCCTCAGAGATCCCCCCTCAGGATTTCTTGTAGGGCTGGTTTAGTGGTGATGAATTCTTTCATTTTTTGTTTATTTGGGAAGACTTTATCTCTCCTTCTATTCTGAATGACAGGCTTGCTGGATAGAGGATTCTTGGTTGCGTATTTTTTTTTGTTCATTGCATTGAAGATTTCCTGCCATTACTTTCTGGCCTGCCAAGTTTCAGTAGATAGGTCTGTAACTACTCTGATATGGTCTCCCTTTGTATGTTATGGCCCTTTTATCC